AATACAATGAACCATATTCATGTTGACATATGCATAAAAGGTATGAATGAGAATGTCTTCACAATACATGTGATGTATTTGACCGGCTTTGATTATTTTTGACAAAGATATAATCGAAACCGGTCAAATACATCTCTTGTATTGTGAAGATATTCATTCTCATTCATATCTTTCATACAATAAAATGCAATAAAATATGAATACTATATCTGGGTATACAGTTCTAACTCATGTACAAAATAGTATATACATTATTTTTCTATGAAAAAAATAACTTTCTCAATTAACTTCTTTATGAAAACTTACCATCTGCTGTGTGATATCCATTGGAGTGTTCTCATCCTCTTTTAATCATCAGAAGAGAATGTACCCAATGACTCCATTCTGATGGATAAATTATTTGATTGCAACATTACAATACTTAAAAGCAGTATTATTAATGGTAGTCTGTAAGGGGAAATGCACTTCAAAGATTTCAGATGATGATAGAATAATGAATATCAAGAGTATTAACATAAAATGAAATAGAATTGTAATTTCATACTGTAGCATCTGTCCAAAATATAAATTTTCACATTAAACTTCCAATGGTGAAACTGTACTGGTACCTTATCTAGTATAGGATCTTATCTAGGAACTGTACAAAATCTTGATGTTATCTAGGCACTCAACATGCCTACAGTGTCTTCTCATTCCCATGGCTGTATTATTTTCCACTATTTATTATTCCAGTGGCAAATGACAAAAACAGAATATTTTGCATTGGGGAAGCAAAATTAGCACAAGAGTATTAGACAGAAGGTATCAAGGGGGAGCAGTATGAGGGACTATTCACTTTTATTCTGCTTCTTTGTAGGGGGGGATACAAAGAAAAACAAATTGTCAACCATAATTCTAATTATCATTTACTTGCTTTAGTGACTTTAGCACATTGTATAAAGCAGCAAGCTGTTTTACAATTTTGTGACAGACTGTGTTGTTTTCCAGCAATAGTTTGGCAGGTGTAATCAACAATAGGGAGAGCTTTGCCCATTTTGATGATACTACTTCTGGCTAAGTTTAAGCATGTAAAAGAAACAAAATAATAATTAAAAAAAGACATTTTCATTTTGACAGCATTACTTACAATCCTAATTTAATTTACGACCATCAGCATCAAAAAATATCAAAGCTACAAATATTGATAGCTGGTAGGACATGAAAGAACTGTGCAAGCCATTATATTGTATTTTTGGTAATTCTTTTCAGTAAAGACGCACTCGCCAGAGACAAAGTCTCCAACTTCGCGGCACAAAATTTATTCAATTATGGAAGTTGCCGTGATTGGGCGTTACCCGAGGTGAAGGTTGATGAGGGAGCTATGCCCCCAATATGCTCCGGGAAGCATCGTCTCCACCTCGGGATGCACGGCCAGAGGCAAGAGAGCTGAATTCGGATGCATCGAGTGGACTTAACTAAGGGCTTTCCGCGATCTTTTTCCATTATTTATGGCGTTACCGTTTCTGTCTGCAGATTATTTCTTGTTCAAACGATTACAACTTTTAGTCCTCTACAAGAATATCTTTAATTATCCCTAAGTGAATCCATACCGTAAAGATTAACCGTAGTATCTTCGAGCGTACCATACTCGTTTTGATCGAGGCGAAAGTGTACTTGTGTGGTTGGTGATTATTGCCTGAATGCAACAAGTCCGAACAACTTTATTACATGTCGAACTGTCATCATTACCATTCTGCTGATTATTGAATGATTACCATTGCTACTCTGTTACTCTATCACCGAGCATAATCAACCTGTAAAGTGTAAGGTGGTCTCGACAAAAGAAGTATCATTGCAAGTCGCTGCTGGGATGGGTGATTTTATCTCTGCCATTACTTACTTGACATTCCGCTACGTTGTCGTCAAATCCACGTTATTCCTCATGGTTGAGATTATTATTATTATACAGCTTTAACCCTTTATACAAGTCTTATGTGACTGTCAGGCACAGAAAGTGAACCTACTCTGACAAGCCTGTCGTTTCTCGAGTAATTGAGCAATTTCCTGTTTTGGTAAAAATACGTATTGGCATCACAGTCTTTGTCACATTGTAAGTTATCATTTTTTAAATCATTTTATTTTCAGTTCCTAGATTTCATTTTAAGATTTTGGTTCTTACTTTCTTCTGCTCTGTGTATCCCTACTGAGTGCAATATAGTAATCTTTATCTCCCCATTAATTACAGCTGCGTTCATTGAATATATGGTTGGAGTATACTATTCTTTATAAAATTCCCATTGCATTATCATATATATATATATATATATATATATATATATATATATATATATATATATATATATATATATATATATATATCATTCCTTGATATGCCTTCGGGATATTGTTTTCAATGATTGACTTTTACTTGTTTTAACAACAGTCTTTCACATCTGGTTCTTATCAGTGACCATCCCGCAGATTAACATATGTGTGTGTGTGTGCGTGCGTGTATGTGTATGTATGTTTGTGTGTGTGTGTGTGTGTGTGTGTGTGTGTGTGTGTGTGTGTGTGTGTGTGTGTGTGTGTGTGTGTGTGTGTGTGTGTGTGTGTGTTGTAAAAGGCAACATACATAGTTACATACATAGTCCCATATACACGTGTGTGTGTGTGTGTGTGTGTGTGTGTGTGTGTGTGTGTGTGTGTGTGTGTGTGTGTGTTGTAAAAGGCAACATATATAATTACATACATAGTCCCATATACATGCCTTCTTAACGTCCTTTTACTTGTTTTAACAACAGTCTTTCACATCTGGTTCTTATCAGTGACCATCCCGCAGATTAACATATGTGTGTGTGTGTGCGTGCGTGTATGTGTATGTATGTTTGTGTGTGTGTGTGTGTGTGTGTGTGTGTGTGTGTGTGTGTGTGTGTTGCAAAAGGCTTACATATATATATATATATATATATATATATATATATATATATTAGTTATATAAGCCCATATGCACGTGTGTGTGTGTGTGTGTGTGTGTGTGTGTGTGTGTGTTGTAAAAGGCAACATACATAGTTACATACATAGTCCCATATACACGTGTGTGTGTGTGTGTGTGTGTGTGTGTGTGTGTGTGTGTGTGTGTGTGTGTGTGTGTGTGTGTGTGTGTGTGTGTGTGTTGTAAAAGGCAACATATATAATTACATACATAGTCCCATATACATGCCTTCTTAACGTCCTAGTATATACAATCCACCTAGTCGTCTTCTTGTAACATTTCAGAAACTGTCATAGAAACAGAGATATGCTGCGCATGACCATCCTTCCCTCAAGCCAAATTGTTTATTTAATATTATACCGTGCCTTTCAAGTACTTTAATCCACTGTTTCCCAATTATCATTTCTAACAGCTTGGATACTACACTAGTTAACGAAACTGGTCTATGATTTAGAAGGTTTTGTTTGTCGCCCCTCTCATATAAAGGTGTAACATTGGCGAGTTTCCAATCTTTGGGTAGTTTTCCTTGTCTCGCAGAATTTTGGAATATTAATAATGGAGTATACAGTTCTTCGGCACATTCCCTCCGAACGCAGTTGCATATCTCATCTGGTCCCTCAGCTCTAGTTTTGTTTAACCCTTTCAGTAGTTTTTTTTTTTTTTTAATTCTTTTTGAGTGATATTTTCGATATTCTTATTTACGTTTGTACGACTATTTGGCATTCTAAAGTATGGGTCCTGAACAAACACTGAAAGTTCTCATTTCCTCTTCCTTAGTATAAGCAATGTTATTATCTTTGATGGAGATAATTGATCTCTACTGTTATTAATCTTACTGTTTATGTAGTTAAAGAAGAGCTTTGGTTGATTTGTACATTTATTAATTATATCCTTTTCAAGGTCTAACTTCGCCTTCCTCATGGTTTGGATATACGTATTTCTTCTTACTTTATACCTTTCATACGCTGCCTGAGATCTATGCTTTTTGAACTTTTTCCAAAGTTGCTGCTTGTTTTCTCTCATTTTCTTGTATATATCACCGTGAACCAGTTTAGGCCATTTCTTACTACAATTTTGAATCTTGATACAACATTTTCTACTCCTTTTTTATAGACAGCAAAAATTGGAATACTGCACATCAAGGTTCTCTTCGTTCAGGAGTGTTTGTCATCAAAGAAATCTTCAAGGCTACTATAATTACCTCTCTTGTAATAGTACGTTCCTTTTCTTTCCCTACTTGCGATGACTTTTTCCTATAGCAGAGTATTTTATCTTAATTCCCTCATGGTCACGTTTTCCTCCATATCCCTAATGTCATCTTTATCTTAACAGAATGGTCTACCTACCCCTCTTATCCTGGTATGATATGTTACATTTTGGACGAAACAAAATTAGTTAATGACTTCTAGTAATTTTGCATTCTACGAATCTGGCTGAGCTCTGGGATCGAAACTTTCTCAATCAAGAATTTCTTTTGCATTAGTCTCTAAAGGCTGTAGTACTTTGCCTGGTTCTTTAACGTTTCTTGAATAAGTTTTGGGTAATTTTCTTGTGCCCACACTGATGTATGAGGTTTTCATGTACACTGTGTGTGTGTGTGTGTGTGTGTGCATATAACATTATCCTATATATATATATATATATATATATATATATATATATATATATATATATATATATATATATATATATATATATATATATACATATATATGTATATATATAAATATATATATATTATACATACATTTATACATACATAAATACAGGTCAAGAACGACTGCTCTAAAAGCTTTAGGGGAGAACTTCAGATGCTGAGAAGTGAATGTGTTCAAATGTTCCTAATAATGAGGTAAATTTCAAAATCCAGCATTCATAGAAAAAATGATTATCGATTTACCTTAACTCGTCGTTTTATTTCATTTCTTTATTTGCTTTCATCTGTTCCATTACTTAGAAATTCATATAAATTTGGATAAACATTGTTCAATTAGATGGGGAAAAACTTGAACAAAAAGTATCTCTTAGG